AGCAACACGCGGGTATGTCCGTGCGGCACATTTCGTACATGCGGTTAGGTACATATATGCCGGGTTTCCAGAAGTAGGGGGCCGTCCAAAAATGACGTCACGCACCTGGGAGGGGGGGGTCATACATTTGTGACGATGTGTGACAAAGGGGGGAAGGGTTGAGAAATGTGACGTCACATCAAAATGCGTAACTTTAAATTCATATAGACAACACGTTCCAATTAATTAAATAGACTTTTTTTTATAAATGTTTTCTCCTACAACATCAGAGTGCAGCGGTACATTAAATACGCACTACAATGACAATAGTTTAAAGAGATTTGAAGCATGTTTTATTTTTGGGAGGGGGGGGGGCAGAGCTTTGAACGTCATATTTGAGGGGGGGGTCTGACTTTTTGTGACGCCGTGTGACGAGGGGGGGGGGGGGGTCAAAAATCATTATAAAATCGCGTGACGTCATTTATTGACGGCCCCTAGGTCTGGAGGAATAATTCTGCTCATTCACGTGTACGCGAATCATCGGAGTCATTTAAGAGTCTCGGGCACCGAAGCTGAGGATCGCGGGCAGGACAATGAACCCGAGTTCACTAAAGCCAGGCGTGAGCTCGTTGTTAAGTGTCTCTCTTGTCGGGGAGGTCTCAGGGGGCACGCCATGCGACCAACATTCAAAACCCGTGCAGAAGAAGACAGGCGCGTCGTCAAAAATCTACGCAACAAGTACATCAACAACAACATGCTGTTACCCAACAACATTTTTGTTTGCATGTCTGTAAAAACGGCCCGTGGCTATTAAAACAACAATAATTACATTTCATCGAGCGTCGTCCTTCATGCACAATTTCATTTCGCAACGCTGTACGAGAGAGAAAAGTAATAACATAAATAAAACAAATAAGGAATTGTTGCGTCTCGCAGGACACACAGCGCACGTAGATAATGCAAAGGCCGAAATGAGAACAATGTTTGTCAATGAGGCGTATACGCGCGCGCGTAAGTTGGACCTTCGTCGCGCCGTAGGTGGCCAACCGTGCTCATCGGAGGCGCGCAATAGTGGAAGGAACTTCATTTGGCGAAGATGGAGTGGGAGTGCGAATGTCACTGAAGACAAAGCGCAATTGATGGTGGGAGTGGGCGGATGGGTGAGTGGAGGGGTCACAACTGCAGCATTCATCGCAAAGAACAAAAGACCACATTCGGCCAACGTCTCATCTGACCGCACCGAGCCAAGGGCACCATCGCCGCCTGGGCGATTGTCTCTTTGGCGGGGTTGGGGGACCCCCACCCCCCGCCCCCCTCCCCTCTGCACGATTCGAATCGGACGCCACGGAGCCAGCGCAGCAGGTGACTCTGGCTGTGAGAGTTTCGAGTTGCAGTGCGGAAGAAATGTTTATTGTGGCATCTCCTAATAAGAGAGGCAAGTGGATAGGAGGCGACTTCCTGCAGGGCGTGTACTGCAGAGCGCTGGGGTTGTTTTGTTGTTCAAGGCAGATGAGTGCAAACAAGAATGTTTCTTGTTCATGAACACCCCACTGAGTCTCAAGACCTATTCATCAAGAGTAGCCTGCGTCCGGCATGGTTGGACAATCCCAATTGTAAGCGAGAAGGGACACGCAGAGAGAGAGAGGGAGAAAGAGAGACGGCGGTGCCCGTGAATGTCACGTCAGTGGGAGTGCCACGGGGGACAAGGTTACACGGTTTTCTGTTAAGTCGAACGTGCAGTGCTTAACAGTTTGCTACGCTGCTCTAGGCGTCCACGTGGCTATGATATGAAGACCGTCGTGTTGCCGCGGTATCGCTGCCACACCGTGGGCGCATCACGTGGCCTGGGACATCGCCACGCGCATTACGGGCTTCCGAGATGATGCAGTGATGGGAGACGCGTCTACGTTGAACTTCTTTCGCACAGTGCGTAGCCAATCGTGCTCGTGGGAGGTGCGTGGGGAAAGGCCAACACACTCAACACAAAAAGCGCTTCTAGAGAAATGAGATGGTCTCCGAATGGATGACTCCAGCCCTATTGGACACACGGACCACGACATTCTCCCGTGTAACCGTGTAGATTCCGGTGGTCAACAGCTGTTTGGGGGTTATCAAGGCGCACGAAGTTGGTGGCGTGCTCAGGATCACGCCTCATCGCTTCGGTAACCACAGCAGCGACGTGTACGCACCGCTGCAGGCACTCATTTATGGCCGAGTCGACCTAGGAGAGGGTCAGCACATGTTCAAACAGAATGTGTCACTGATGTTATCCGTGGCCAGGATTCAAGAATCAGATGAAGAATCCGTCATGCAATTCTCGGACCATTGTACCACTGCTTCCAAAACCCACACAGACCTCCGATTATTCTGCAAGGGCAAGTGATAATTTGTGGCTAATTAATGACTCGTTTATGCATGACTGGTCAATGCCGCTCAATGCACTCCTCCCTGAGTTTCAGGGCTCTTCTCAAGATCACTCTGCATTTTGATGTTTGGCAAATCACATTTTCTCAGAGTGTTTCTCACGTGGGAGAAAACCTGGGACTTCGCGGAACAAAAAAAAACCCCATATCACTTCGCTGTATCGCCCTGCCATGTCCTGACCACTTGGCAGCCTCGGGTATACGGGAAGACTGCTTCCAGAACACGAACTCTCAAGTCCAGCCCCGTTCGAGAACCGTGCTTGCACGGTTCGCAGTGGCTGTGGAAACGTGACATGGGTGCGACCATCGAGACTGCCGCGTAAGACTGGGCATGAGGCGTGTGGCTGGTCTCGTCCTGTCCCTCGCACCCATTCACGCACAGACAAATACAAAGATTCCCCATACAGCCTTTGACAGACTGTTAGGGAAAGTGCTGTTAGCGAACACCTAAGAAGGTCGGAACGGCACACGAGTGCCCGACAACACGCCCGGCCACCTTTGTCTCCCCGGTGACAATGTTTACACACCGCACCGGGTACTCATTTGAGGCGGAGTAGACCTTAGAGAGACCCAGAACCAGTTCAAGTAATCGTCGCTGGTGTTGGCGGGAATCGATCTCGGGTGGTTCGGGTTCGTAGCGCAAGCCCGTTGAACCGCTCCACGACCGCCCCCCCCCCACATTCACCACACGCAGGGCCACATCGCCGCCTGCCGTCAGGATAACGAAGCTGCACTGGGCTCAAGGCGAAGCCTTTCCGGGGGGTACCCAGGGGAGGTGTGGACGTGGCTCATTCCGAGTGGGGAGAGTCCGTGCAGCGTCTTGGGTGCCTCATGCGCACGCGGTGCGCGTCTCGCGATGTCTAAATACACCGAGACGGCCCTGCTGTGATGTTTTTATTAATTCCACTGTAGCCCTGCGAAAATGTGTCGTTCAAGTGTACCCCGTGAATTTGGGGTTCAGACGTGAGCACAGCGGATTTGTGTTCACGCGAGCCCCGTGGGCTCCGTGTCCACGTGTGAGTCACGTGGCATTATTTTTTTTGTTCTTGTGAGCGCTGCAGATCGGCATCCGCGAGCCGTGTCCAGGGAGTGATCACCTAAGGTTACTACGCCACTGCCAGCAGTGACCAGAATCTCAATGAGTCACGACGGAGTGGTCGGAAGAGGAATGAGGATGCTCACGTGGATCCTAGTGGCCCCCAGTGCCCAAGTGAGTCGGCAGAAGGAGGAATCTCGCGCCGACGGTGGCTGCCTGTGAAGTGTGATGAGCACTAGCCGGTTGCATGTTTATTTAAATGAACAAAACAACTATGGAGGCATTTTCAGTTTCAGCCGCGGCGGAGCTGTTCCTACACGCGAGTGTGGCTCAGCTTTGACGGAGTGGCTCAGGAGGGGGTCCCCGCGCCCTCGCGCCCCCGTCTCGCCTCCTGCCCCATCCCCTTCCCCCATCCCCTTCCCCCCATCCCCTTCCCCCCATCCCCTTCCCCCCATCCCCTTCCCCCACAAGTCGGGGTATGCTTCGAGCCCTCCACCCGTCGCGTTTTCATCTCGGTCACGTCCCGGCACTCGCCGATACCCAGCTCTGCGCGAGTGTTGGCGCTCGCGTGCCGCTGTGCGGGTTTGGCCGCTGCATTCACTCCTCCCCCAGCCCATCCATCGCCTCCTCGCCAGAGGCCCCGGGAGTGGTGGGGGGAAGTTTGTTTTATATATATATAAATCTGAATAAATTATGGAATAATTAATGAAAGACGGCGTTTCCGCGGATGAGTGAGCGTCTTCCATCGCGTCCACTTAGTGCCATCATTGCGCGCCGGGCGCGATCGGCCCGGTGGTCGCGCGTGTCTCCGTGACCGTGGCATGTTTGCGCATTCTCGCGCGACACGGCGTAGCGCGGCTGACGGGACGTCGATGCTGAGAAACGACGACTCCGAGGCAGCACAGAGAGCGCGTGCTGATGTATTTCGAATCTTGATCGATCGTCCTCATCAACTCTTATCATAATCATCTTGATTATCGCCGTCTCGTGCGTAAGCCTGCATGCATGTGTGTTCAACTTCTTTCGCGCCATACGTGGCGTAGGTCGCCAACCGTGCTAATCGGAGGTGCGTGTTCCATCTGTCGCCGCACCTCCGCGCACGAAGTTCCACGCATCATCACAATAATCATCATCATCATCACCACCACCACCACGTGTCGCACATTCAGACGCGCCTCCAATTCGGTTTCCGCGAATTTAGAAAGAAACGCATCTGCCGCACGTGCGCTTTGCCGAATGTACGGCTTAAGTGCCTTGGCAAAGGAAGCTTGTATCATTCTTACCACTACCGCGACAAACACACACACACGGGGAGAATGAGGTTCATTCAAAATGCATTTATTGAAAATTAAGATGTGTTTTCTGCATCTGTAGTAATGACGAAGGCGGCTTCATTGATTTATTGGCATCGCCGTTAAAAAGAAGAGGCTGTCCCCACGTGACCGACTGTACCTACGAAATTGCCTCCCCCCCGCCGCCCGGGGGGGCGTGGAGCGCCTCACCCCCTCCCCGCCACCCCCCGGAGCTCACCTGACGGTCACCCCCCGCCCCCATCCGCGCCCACGGCTGCCGGCACGGAGCCGCTACACGGGCATCTCAGAGCAGGGCCGAAGTCGCCGTCGTTGCGAAGAGCCTTCCGCGGTGAGCGTGGAACGCGCGAGCGCAGCGGTGTTCTTTCGCGAGCGCGTTCGTGCCAGCAGCGGCGAGGCGCGTGTTGCGAGGGTGGTAGGAGGGGAGGGACTGGAAGGGGAGGGAGGTGGTGGGGAAAGGTCGCGGCGTCGACAAGAGGAGGGCGGGCATCTGGGGTCTGCATGAAGCCCGGGCGAAGCGGGGAGCGAACCATTGCACATTCCCTCCCGACTCGCGCGCATTGCGTCTCGATTACGCAAGGTGCGAGCAGCCCGACCGGCGGACGGTGTAGTCGGGTGTGCGGCATCCCCCGTGCGTGCGCTTTTGTACGCGCGCGTGTGTGTGTGTGAGTGCGTGTGGGTGTGTGTGTACGTGTGTGTGTGTGTGAGCGGGTGTGTGTGCGTTTGTGCGTGTGTGTGTGTGTGTGAGTGCGTGTGTGCGTGCGTGTGTGAGCGTGTGTGCGTGTATGCGAGTGTGTGTGTGTGCGAGTGTGTGTGCGTGCGTGTGAGTGCGTGTGTGAACGTGTGTGAGTGCGTGTGTGTGTGTGTGCGTGTGTGTGTGTGCGAGTGCGTGTATGCGTGTGTCAACGTGCGCGCCTCGCCGTGCCGCTCAGGCAGGAAGAAGGAGCGCAGAGGCGGGGCGGCCCGTGGGAGGCGACTCTCCTCCTCCTCCTCCTCCACCCTCCTGCAGCCGGCGGGCCGGCCACTCGCCTGGTATGTCCAGGATGTACGTTCGGCGCAGAGTCCTCGAAGCTGACAGAAACGGCGGCGATCCTAGGGTCGCCGGCAAAAGGAGCTAGGCGAGGCCGTCCGCCGCCGTCACCGCATTCTCATCGGGAGCGCGCGGCGCTCGCACGGCGCTCGCCCCCGCACAGAGCGCGCCGGGCTATGGGTGCGCACGGCGCGACCGGGACGCCTCGCCCCCCGTGGCCGCTGCTCGTGTGGCTGCTGTGGCTGGCTGCGGGGCCGCCGGGAGCCCGAGGGGAAACCGCGGAACGCACCGAGCTGGCGGTCATGGGCCTCATGCCCCTGGGCGTGACGGCGGAGACGGGCGACGACATCGGGCAGGTGGTGCTGCCCGCCGTCACGCTCGCCGTGCGCCACGTGAACCAGGACGCGTTCCTGCTGCCCGGCTACCGCCTCGGCCTCAAGTGGTACGATACAGAGGTATTCTCTTCGGTCCATTGCCGGTACTTTTTTTATTCTCGCACTACTTGGTCCTCGCGTACTCGCCCCGTGCTCGCAGATCACGGCGATAGTCGTCGATTGTCTCGGGCATGGTTTCACGTCGCCGTGCTCTGTGCGCTCTCTGAGTGTGCGTGCGTGCGTCGATCCTCATATGCGGCATATTTTACGTATGTGCGCGCGATTTATGTACGCTTCGTACCCTGAGTAGGGTCGCCCCCGCAACATCAACGCAGCGCACGATATGCGCACCTTGCGTCGGAGTTGGACAATGCTCGACATTGAATCAGAGCGCATTTAAACCCGGAGGGTCCGAGCCCGCGGACGAGTCACTGAATAATAAAGGAAGACGCGGGCGGTGGATGGAGGAGGGGGGGGGGGGGCGCTGCAGGTGAGTAGTGGGCATGGGACGAACCCTGCTGGGAGCCGCTGCCTCCTCGAACTCGTGAGAACGGGGACCGAGGCCCCCGCTTGCCCGAGCCGCCTCCCCTCGTTTCGTACCGCTCCGCGCGCCCTCCCAGCAACTCCCCCGACGTGTCCGTCCCATCCACGTGTCGCGCGCATCGACAACTTCTTTCAGAACAATCCCCTCCTCGATCATAGGGGCCCGTCTCCACGGGGAAGGGGATCCACACGGGTTTGGGGGATCCGCATCTCGAAACGCTCTACAAAATAGTGGCGGCCGTCCATCACGGGAGGGTGTGTGTGTGTGTGATACATTACATAAGACGAATAGATAGCGAGTGTTGCAAAGAGACATAGACTGTCGTAGGCGAAGAGAAAGGCAGCGAGTCTTAGTCTCGGGACAGGGTCCGTGATGCGCGCGCGTCTGACACCGAACGCGTGAGCACGACGAGAGGCTGCGGACCAAGGGACCCCCCCCCCACCCGAGCGATAGCGGCGCCAAGGAGCCTCAGGGCTGTGGAGCCGCAGGGCTCCTTAGCGCCGGTGACTGGTGGAGGGGGCGATCGTGAGTAGGCAATGACGATTGGCTGACTGATTGATTGATTGACTGACTGATTGATTGACTGATTGATTACTTCTCTCCTGCCTCCGCGCTCGCCTCTTGGCCTCGCCTCGCCGTAGCTATTAAGGGATTTGGCTGGGATCGATTAATTTGTTCCAGCTGGTGAAATAATAATAATAATAATTGTTGTATGTACGTCGCTTTTGCCGTGGGGCGGGGATTCGGGCACAGGGCAAAAGGTGGAGTGGGATGGAGCCGACTCGAGAAGGTGCGTGCGGTCCGAGGTGGCCTGCTTATCAGCGCGCGCCGGTCTCTTCTCCACCACCACCCCCCCGGGCAGTCCAATTAACTTTAGTTAATGCGAGGCTGTGGGGGGAGGGGTGATGAGGGAGGGGTGGTGGTGGGGTGGTAGTGGGGGGGTGACGCGGAACGCCGAGTCGTGCGCGCCCCTCTCTCAGGACGAGGCTTCAAAGCCGCTCGTGCTCAGCCTCCATCTGTGCTTTGTCAATTTTTGTTTTGGGGTTCGCCTTTCATCTGGTGCTATATTATGACTGTTATCATCCTCGCCATAGTTAATATGCATTTCATTTGTCCGTGCGTGACACTCGTGTCGGGGCCCAGTGTAGCCGCCTCGATGCTCAGGCGAGAGCTCGGGGAGCGATGGCGCAGTGAATGGAGCACCTCCTGCACTGTGCATCCGGCGACCTAAGTTCGATTCGGGTCCTGAGCATCCCCACCCCCTCCGCTGCCCCGCCGCTCCCCGTTCACCCGGACTCACCAGCGTGGTGAAGTATGGTCAAGAAATCTCCATGGCCGATATTCCACAAGGCGGCCTTCATCCATCAGTGAATTGATAAATCACTCAATTGTCATTATCATTAATTACCATTATAATGAATTATCATTATCATTTAACATTATAATAACCTAGTGATACCAGAAGTGTGTTTGTCAAGGAGACCTGGTTAACAATAAATCCAGGGTGATGATGCCTGCATAAGGGATCACTGGTCCACGCTATTCCGGGGCCAGGCGCCTCTAAGGGGCCATGTCCCTGACACTCGCGGGTGTCGGCAGTGGGTTGTGGGAGGCTCGAGGGGTCACAGCGAGAAAACGACTAAAACGGGCGCCTCGGGGGAGAGCCGCCGGGGAAGCGGTGACACTCGATGACTCCAAATCACAGCTGCAGCATGACGAGGTGTCATTCATTCGTGGTACAACGCGCCAGGCGACGCGACACCTGGCGACACCGCCTGTGAGCTGACACGCGGGGACCTGGGGAATGAGGAACCGTGGCAGCGCACAGAGCACCCAATACCCCCCTCCCACCCCCCGCGTCTCCCCGACTCCAACAGGGGGCGTGTGGCGGTATCCACTGCCCGAGTCTTTCACCTGAGCGCGCTCCCCCTCCCGCTCAACCACTAGCACCAACCACAACAACTACAACAACAAGGCACCAAGAATACACACATCCTGTCCCCTATTCCCCAGCCCGGACGCAAGCAGGCTATGACCTGCCCCATCTGCCAACGGCGCCTCTGCCGGGACGGCGAGACCGAGCACCAGGGGACATCACGCGGCCCGTATGATTCACCTTTGCCAAAGCAACATCGTATTCCAATTACCACTGCACTTGCACCTGCGTAGTAGCAATGGTTCACGTGGATGCATCTGCTGGAGATTAGCGGGGCCACGTTACAATATTGCAAGCATTCATGTGAAGTTCCTTCCCAGCTGGCTGCACATCAAGGATCACTCTGACCCTTGACCTTGGGTCTCTGAAGCTTGACTGATTTTAATTATTTGGAGATGCCCGTGTTATTGGAGGTCCTGCGAAAGTAACGATTCCATGTTTCATGATAGCATCCAATAAGCAGTCATGAAAAATTACACAATCGTGCCATGGCCTCGCTCGCGTGTTCTCGCTCTGACCTCATCTCCCCTCACCCTTCTCTGAGCGTGCTATGCCCGTGGAGCCATTAGTTAGTCTGCAGATGTTCAGGGCGCCACGGTGGCGAGATGTTGGATACCTCGCCTGGTGTACAGACACACTCCGGTCATCCTCGCAGCAGCTTTAAGCTAACCAACGGTCACTGCATCGCACGCTTTCAGATGCACTTCTGCGGCCGTCTGGAACGCTCTTCCTTCCGATATTATGAAGCCACTTAAGCGATACACTTTTAAATCTAGATTGAGAAACTAATGTCTTTACAACTGCTTTTTGTGTTTAGTTGGTCCTACCCCCGCAACTGATTAGCACGGTAGGCGACGTATGGTGTGAAAGAAGTAAAACACGCAGTACATACATACATACAGATCGCGGATTCGATCCCGACCCTGACGCCTGTATATTTGGAGTTTGCACCTTCCTATTCCCGGGGTCGCATGGATTTTTCTCCAGATCCTCCGGTTTTTCCCTCCACGTTTATAAACACGCGTTTAGAGAATGTGGCTGCTTTTCATTTCTACATGATAAGCCACATCGTTGACCTGTCATTTGTGGCCAGATCGCTTCTGAAAAGAGCTATATAGCTCAGTGGGCCTTACCTGGTAAAATAAAAAAAAATGTAAGTGTATTTTAGTTTATTAGTGGTTGCTGATCCACAACCACCGCCACCACCAACACGGAGAAGAGCAATGGCTTTACTGTCAGCCTGTCACCACCCCCACTGCTTAAATCCTGACTTAAGACCTCCTCCTCCTCACTTGCATTTGATTGATTTTTGTTTTCGTCCCCTCTGCCTGCCTCCTCGTTCTATATTTTATTTGCACATCGTGCGCGTAACGTGCTCGCTCGCACGCTTCCCCTCGTGCCTATCGCCGCGCCGTCAAACGCACACTCCTCCTCCGCTTCTTCTTCTGCTGCCACAGTTTGCGTGCGTCTCGAAGCACTTCTTGTTCGAAGATATTTAAAGCCGCAAGGGGTACAACGACTAATACAGCAAGCGTATCAATAATGCAGTCGGTTATTCGAGCTATTGGTGAAACTCTGCGCTTTGGGGCTGGGGGGATGGGGGCTTCATGAGGCGATGGAATTGACTGGCGATATTTGCAAGAATCCAGGAACGTGAAGAAGGCGGGTCGCGGCCAACCAAGGATGCGCTGGGCGTGTGCGTGCCCATGAGACACGAGTTTCGCGGCAGGAATCGAGAGGAGGAGCGATTCTAACCCACGCTCTTAGCGCCAACCCAAGGCCAGTCATAACCCTGACCCTGACCGTGACCCCTTTCGTGGGTGTGAGAATGGGTTTCAGACGAAGATTGCAGCACGGGTTTGAGACACGCGCGGCGCTTTAGGGAATCGGCGCTTTCCATTGGTTGTTAATCTCCCGCCATTGGTTGCCATTCTCTAAATGTGCCCCGTGCACGCATTCACGCATGATGCGTCCATAAGTTGATGGGCTCGTTTCTGCCACACGCAGCCGCGCCGGGGCGGTTGTGAACGCGCGCGGCAGAACTGAGCGCGATTCGGGTTAAACTGCGTCTGCGGTCAGAGAGTGCTGGATCCTGCCTTCAAGCAGGCGCTCTCCTCAATAGGCCAGATGGTGCCGAGCTTAATTGATGGAGGCCTCGCTGCCCGGAGTCAATTACATCCCAGCAATTACCTGCTGTCCCTATTGGGCTTCCTGGGAAATTAAACGTGTACGCGGCATGCGGAGAGCGGCGACACACCGCACGTTGCGTATGTAAAGCGAGCCGAGCTCCGTCACGTGTCACAAAATTGGACAATCATCGCTTCTTATTCTTTTGTACGGATGATGGAGATGCAGAGCAGCGACTTACAATGTCACATTCAGGTGGTCAAGCCCAGGTAACCGCGTCACGAGTAGTCGAGTCGTGTATCGTCGCCGTGATGCCTCCTTCGTATCTGTGGACCGGGCATTGCGTCATTGTACGTTGTACGGTCTGTTCTGGGTGACCACAGTCGCCACTGGAGAGTTTTTGAGTGTAGACTCGTGCATCAGGTGTCCGCATCTGCCACGGCTTGTGCAGTGGATGCGGGTTCGAGTGTTGTCCCATCAGCTGCGTGGGCAGATCGAACCCAGGGCTCGCCGACCCGAGACAAGGGGCTTGCGTGCAGAGCGCGCCACGGCTACGGCCGGAGGAGCGCCTTCCTCTCCACGTGTCCTGCCCCTCATCCCGTGCGACGTTCAATCCCCGCGCTCTGCGTGGATCATTAGCGGCGGCGGCGGCCTCGTGTCCGGCATCCGAGAGGCGTTGGGGCGGTTGTTATAAACCGGGCACGGGGCGCCCCACAGCGCTCGTGGTGTTGTCGGAGGCTCGAACTTTGTTGCTGTCGTCTCAGCGCAGCCCCTGGGAGTCTGGAGCTAGGCGCGCCTTCTGAAAGTGGCTTTGTTTTTCTACAGCCAACTCCCTCGCACTCCTTCCACCCGCCCTCCGCCCCCCGCCATTTCCCGCTGCATTCACTTTCAAAGGATCGCGGCGTGACCTCTGACTTTAGTTCTTTGGGAGACCTTTCGGGAGGGCACCTTTTTGTGAGTGTCCCCGCGGCAGGCGGTGGAAATGAGGCTGTTGAGTAATTAGTAATTAGCGCCGAACGGGAGCGGAGCTCCTCGCGGAGGCTGCGATTGTGCGGGTGCCGTTTCGCGTGAACTCGCTCAGAAAGCGGCGGGCGGGGGAGCAGCGATGGCGCGTTGGGGCATCGTTAATAATGCGCGATGCAGAGGTCTGGGGTGGGAATGCCTATAAAAACCAGTGGCTAGACTGACCTCAAAAGCAATCTCCCTGCATTAATCATCTCAAAAACACTCTCGCCGCAGTCGTACGACTGCGCTTAAAATATTCACGTGCCATGCGAAACAAAGGCTTATTTTCTCCAGCTGGGGAGATGGGCACCCACGATCTGCGCTTCTTTATTCATGCCAGGGAGCTTGCTTTAGAGTGCGCGTACAACTGAGCGCGGGTTTTGACAGTCCGGATTTGCCGTGCTCGCGTCTGCGAGGAGAGCGGCGTGCGGATGTCACAATACGCATGCTTTGTGTTGGATCGGGGCATCTTTCGAGAGTGCAAGATGAGCTCGTGCGAGACGACCGAGGACTCTCTCGGAGGGTGGCACCGAGCTGGGGATACCAGATTGTCCGCAACGGCCGTCGGCTCAGTCGTCAAATGAAGTGTCCACTAAACATGCATTTGGCACGGTGTTCAATGTGAAGTGTGACATCGTGAGTCGGAGGAGTTGGACAAACAGCATCGCGTGATTGCTCTGTGAACGTTAGTGACGGCGGTTTCGGTTGGCACCGAAAATAACATTTCGCCGTTTTTGTGTAACCTTTGCAAAATAAATAAACTATGCCTCTACATCGTAGTGGCTTTTCGTTCTTGTTCATAGAGCCAAATTCTCGCTAAAGCGAAACGGCGCAGCGTGGAGCACTCTGTAACGCTGCAACGCAAGCGACGTGAGGACTGGCTTGGGTGGGCAGCGCGCCGCACCCTGCGACTCGCTGGCTCGGTTTCTGAGCTCGAGGCTCCTCTCTCTGCCAGGGATGCGACCAGAGCAGTGCCAGTGGCGCGTCGATCCCGCCTGAGTGTGGCGTCGGTGAGAACAGGAAGCGCCCTCCTCTCACTTACCTCCCGTGCCCGCATCATCATCATCATCATCATCCCATGGCCGCTCTCCAACCCCAGTCCCAACAAAACCACCCTTCCTCTCTCCTCTCAGCTGGGTAGTCCTCTCAGCTGTCGCTTGCCCCGGCAGGCGCGGGGGAGGGTCAGCTTGGCAGCGTGGCATTGGCACTTCCCAGAATCCATAATTTATTTACCTCCCTCCTAAAAATAACATTTACATAGACGCCTTGTTGCAAGTGTCTCCATTGTGTACGCTGTGACTCCAGACTCGGTTTCAGTTCAACGAAACAAAAAAAAACAAAGCGACAAACAAAACCAGAGTGCTCAGCTCAGCACTTGTCTTGGGGAAACTGAAACGTGCTGACCCGCGCTGCGCCCAGCTGAATATCAAGTCGCTGAAGCGTGAATCAAAACAAACGTGTTCTATTTTGCCCTCTGGAGCAATGTCGGAGTGACTGCCCTACGAGGTGTTTGACCCCCCCCTCCACCTACCCCACTGCTACTCGGCAGGTTGTTTGGTCTCGGAGGCGCACTGCGCTTTTGTTTTTTAGTTTCGTGTTTTATATTTCATGTCGGGATTTCCCAACACATTTTCAAGCTCCCCCGGAATTTCAGGAATTTGTTGTGGACTTGCGCCTCCTGTATGGCTTACGGATCCCACAGTTAGGCAACCTTAATCGCCCCCAACCGAGCGGTAATGGCCAGGGCCAGGGTGCTTAACATTTTATTGCATCTTTATCTGTCTCACACCGTGTCTTCTGCCTTTCTGGCATCTTTCCACGACGTGTTCTCTGGTAGTCAGCGGGGGCTCTGCGGATGGAGACCGGCAATCTCCATTGTAATTCTGCGGCACGCCCGTTGGAGCAGCCCCTGGATCCGCCGTTAAGAGCCGTGCTGGCACATTAACATGCCTCCTATTGCCACGGCCGTGTGCTGACGTGTACAGTGTGCACCTCACGCTTCCCCACATTACTGCCAAACGCAAAACAATTGAGGCCGCTTCGTGTCTCAAGGCCGAACCCCACGCCGGACTCTGTCGCCAAGCTGTAGGGACTGACAATAATGACAAACCCCCTTTGTGGAACGTGCGACTTGAAAGCGTGTCGTGCAGTCAACTCTTACGGCGCAGTTTGTGGCTTTCGGCTTTGTCGCAGACGGTCACTTCGTACCACCATTGTCCCCTGTGTTTCTGCACCCCCCCACACCCTGCCCCCACCCCTGCCCAAAGTGTGACAATGCCAAGGGGCTCAAGGCATTTTTTGATGCCATCAAGAAGGGGCCCACGCACCTCATGATTTTCGGGGGCGTCTGTCCCTCCGTGACCTCTACGATCGCCGAGGCCCTGCAGGGATGGAACCTGGTGCAGGTAAGAGTGAGCTCCATCCCCACCGCTCCGCACGTGGGCCCCTCTGATGGCGGGCAGCCCTCGGCACACGGTGTCGTGCGGTCACGTGTGCCCCTCCGGCGGCAGCGTCTTGAGCAGACGGAGGCGCCACGAGCAATGTCCTTGCGCTGTATTTGGTTGGTTTGATGCGTCCACGCTGTTCGGACGTGAGGGACGTGATGGAATCTTTTTGCTTTGCTTCAAATGGGATATTAAATGTCTGGCTGGGTTTGTTGTTGGTGCTCTTTATCTAGGACCGCCGTTTGATATTGGTGCACTGATCTGTAATCGAACGCGTGGATCCGGGCTAGATTTAGGAACGAGGTTGCAATTAGTTTTACATTTAAAACTTTCGGTTTATTCTGTTAATTGCACAAAAGTTTTGTTTTGCAAGACATTAAGTGAAATGCAAATCGAGTGTTCTAATTAAAACAAAACAACCTGGTCCTGAGTGTGAACAATACACGTAATTTGAAACGGTTTCATTTTTTAGATAGGTTTTTTATGCAGATATTTCACCAATAGGCGTGCATGCGTGTGCACGTCCTCAAGTAATGGCTGGGCTCAAACGAGCATCTACATGCAGCAGAACATGTTCCCTGGGCTGGCTCGGGGCACCTCCGTCTGTCTTGGCATGTCCCTGACGCGTGGGCGGCTCCTGCCGCCGGCGTATTGATTGGTTAAGCGTTGCCGCTGATAATTTGTTATTTTTTAAATTCGACTGTTGTGCCGCCTTGGACGATCGTGTCCCACTCGTCGGGCCAATCTCGCTTCTGTGCCCGGTGCCACCCCCGAACGGCTGCAGCAAATTGATCGCCGCTAAATTCGAATACCGGCCGCCTTTGCAGAGAAGTGTGGCGTTCTCCGAGCTCAGGAATCGTGAGCTCGGAGCTGGGCACACAACGTGACACTACGGAACCACGCTTAATCAGCGTGAATTGCCTCTGATGCTAACAGACGCGGCGCCTCGTAATTAATGGGCTTAATGAGTGAATGTGCTGGTCTTAGCTTATTCAGTCGCAGGGAGAGAGAGAGAGCCCCGTGATTGTGAGGGTGTGGATTATTTATTTCAATTGTGCTTGTCTTGATATCTCATGAGGGGCAGTGAATTAATGTTGAATGCAGCCCAGTGGGGGTTGATTTGAACACACAGGCTCACAGGAAGGGTTTGCTGCTTGCACCGATAGCGCGTGTGGCGGTGGCAGAGCTTGCGCTCGAACTTTCGGCTCCCCCTTTTGTGCATCGCTTCTCGAACCCAGCAGATGATCAATGGCCACGCTGTGTAATTTTCCACGCAGGTTAATTAAAACGTTAATGTGTGATGCTGCTTCGGCTTTGCAAATTGTTTAAAATGTTGTTGAAATTATATTAAAAAATGCCATGAAGAATGTAGGGCCTCACGTCAATCCCCTGTTAGATGAAGGTATTCTCACCACATGTTTTAATCGTGATGGTTTTTTCACCATACTTCACCATCCTGGTCAATGCATATCGGTAAAAGGGAGAGGGGGTGGGGAATTATATCTTTTCTGATATTGATTGTTTGCGTGCCGAGTGGTTGTCTTTACCATTGGGCTATCATAGATGGATTTCAAACAATCCAAAATCCTGCATGTCCACTTTCACACAACCCTCACTCACTTCCTCGCTTTCTCCACCACCCCAACCGCCCCTACCCTCTGTCACCCCACCCCCATCACCCTCACGATGCTGCCACAGCTCTCGTTCGCGGCCACGACGCCCGTGCTGGCGGACAAAAAGAAGTACCCGTACTTCTTCAGGACGGTGCCCTCGGATAACGCCGTCAACCCGGCCATCGTTCGCTTCCTTCACCTCATCAAGTGGACGCGTGTAGGGACCCTGGCACAGGACGTGCAGCGCTTCTCTGAGGTTTGCGGAATCAGCAGGGGACAGCACCAGGGATACCAGTAGTGACAACCATAGACATCACCGGGAACAGCACCAGGAGTAGCACCACGGACAGCACCTGGGGTAGCACCACGGACAGCAGTAAGGGCAATAGGAGGGGCAGTCTCCGGGGCAGCGGTGGTAGGGGGCAGGGTGTGATGTTCTCGGTATACTACATGCCGTGTGATGTTGAGGTGGGGCACAGGTGCAGGAGCTCAAGAGGGAGAGGTGGGTCATGAGTGACGCACACATTGAAGGAAGGCGACAGATGTTCCGGACATTATAGAAGGAAACACGATGATGATGCAGCACATGTGGCACCAAAGTAAAGATCTATAGCCATCTTCATTGCCGCATATGACGGGACAGATGTGTTCCAGTGAAAGATTTCTTGGCAATTGCCCCCAAGGGTGCTGTTAATTGGCTTGCATCGCTTTCCCTTCGGTTGTCTGAGAATCTTTAATTTGCGAACCCGATAGCAACATGGCAATTTGTTTAAGATAGTGGTGCAATGGCCACCACACGTGTATTTTTGGAGAGGGAAATAAAAATATCCCTGGGAAAATTGCCCAAGTGCAGAAAAACATAATAATTACGGTGAATGGAGGCAGTGAAATGCGAAGGCTTTGACGTGGAGAAGGCTGAGTTCACTGCCCACACAGGTCCACAATGACCTGACCAAGGAGCTGGAGAAGATGGACATCGAGGTGGCCGACACGCAGAGCTTTTCCAACGACCCCTGTGCCAACGTACGCAAGCTCAAGGTACTACGGCATGCTCACAGGTGCCTCTCACTTGTCTGCACACAGCACCAATTGCTGACTCGTCCATACAAGGACGGTCGTGGCTGTTTGCTTTCCTTGAGCTGCACGAATGTTGTCGGTTGGTCAAAATAATGGCGAAGCGGTTTCAGGAGTGGAGGCTTTGGAGAGTGGAGGGGTTGACAAGTGGAATCCGATGGGGATTATCGCTTGGGTCATTACTTAGTAATGACGAGCGGGTCTGAATTTGATTGTATGTTAGATGAGTCTAAACTCGAGTGTGGGGAATGTTCCTGAAGCAATTAAATATAGTACAGACTGAAGAGGCGGAATGAAAGTTATTGGTATGGCAGACTGATGCTGGATTCTTGGGATGCATTTTTTCTTGCTCAAGATGTGAAGACAGTGACACTCCGAGGGAGAAAGAATGCTCAGTCAGTCTTTGGGTTGCACTGATTAATGTTGTGCGTGGCAATCCGCTGCTCGATGAAGGCCACACTATTTCCATGCATCATGGTCCCGCGATATCGAAATCAATCCTCACCCTTCACACGGGCTGATGCACACGCACACACCGACCTTTCATCAGCCACACACTCCTCATCAGCCGCCTCACCTTAAGCTCCCACTCGCCTCGAACCTGGCCGTGCCTGAGCTGCAATCCAGCACCGGTTGCTCGTCGCACGCCGTATTGGCCGTGTTGACCCACATGCGGCGTAGGCGGTGGCGGTAGTACCAACGTGGATAAATCGGGGCAGCGGGAGACCCCTGTTTTAATTTCTCTGCACCGAAGCCCACGGGTACCACCACGCTATGCCACTAAGCTCTGACATGCCTCGTCAAAGAATGGGCCACAGATGCACAGAGGTGCGGCGGCCAGAGCTCTTCCACTGCCATAGAGAAGAGTTTAAGAAATCTCCCCACCAACCTCCCCACCGCTGCCACGTTTCATTTTTCAACATCGCCAAAAAAAGGGACAAAAACAACCAACGTTACAATAATTGGGCTCGCGAAGCGGAACATTTCCTGGAATCAAATGGATCTGCGTGAAATATTAATACGGAAAAAAAAACAACCCCCAGACTCGTGTGCTGACCTACTTCTTATCTTCCGTTCCAAGGACGCGGACGTGAGGATTATTCTGGGACAATTCGACGAGGAAATGGCCACCAAGGTGTTCTGCTGCGTAAGTCACCGTCGGGTTTAATTCGAGGGTGAGATGCGTGCGATCTGCCGTGAACTCCTCTCCTCCCGCAGCCCCTCGGCCACGCCGCGTCAGTCGACAAGCACGGCAGGGTGTTTATGAATGCGCAGGGCCGGCGCGTGTTCGGCATGTTTGATGTGCGGCCGTGCGATGACCGTAAACAGCAGCGACAGGGGCTTATTCAAAGCAGCGGCACGGCCGCGAGATCCCTGCTCGCACACTTGCGGCGCGCCAAGCACACCGAGACAATGTTCTGACCTTTCGGGGGCAAAAAATCATTCCTCCTTTTGAGAGCCGCAACGAGCTCTGGTATTGGGATTTTGATCGAAAGAATGTTTTGTTTAATGCTCGAAGGATTAGGGAAGCGCAGGGTGCAGGCTGATGAGTCGGCAGGTTTTGTGAAGCGTCTATTCGCTGCCGGCCGTGCGCTCTCGCCCATCCACCGCCCCCCCCCCTCTTCCCCCCCGGCAGGCCTACCAGGAGTCTATGTACGGCAGCAAGTACCAGTGGGTGATCCCGGGCTGGTACAGGGAGCGGTGGTGGGAGCGCACCCGGCCACCTGAGTGTCCCGAGCGCGGCCTCTATGAAGCCATCCAGGGAAACATCGCCGTTGACTTCATGCCTCTCAGCACCCGGCCCATCCAGACCATCTCTGGGCAGGTGCGCGTGTGTGCACGTGTGTGCATGTGTGTGCGCGCGTGTGTGTGTGTGTGTGCAAAAACAACCCCCTATCTCCTCATTGGTGCCGGACGGCAACGCTGTGGTGTGAAATGCCGAGGGGGGAAGGCCAATTTAGATTGCCTATTCCCTTCATGGCGTTTGTAACCACCACAGCGGCCAAATGGGGGCTTTAGACGCGTGCGAGGGGCTGGTAACCCCTCCACCTTCAATTAATTACCACGAAATCACGATTATTATTTTTTTATTAAGCTTGTGGCGGAGGCCCCGGGGGGACAAGCATCTATGACGTCTCCTGGCCAATCCCCATTTGGCGGAGCCAGGAGACTGAATCCTTACTCTCGGGACTCTTCCAGAAACAACAAAAAACCACTACGGGTGGCCACATGGAATGTTCGAACGCTCACTGTGGAGGAGATGCTGCCACTCCTCTGTCGGGAACTGGACCGGTACTGCCTGGATCTCTGTGGTATTCAGGAGGTCCGGTGGACCGGCTCTGGCTCCTGCCACCATGAGGGGTGGACAGTCCTCTACTCGAGACAGGAGACTGCCAAACAACAGGGAGTGGCTCTTCTTCTGAACAAAATAATGAAGGGGGCGTGGGAGCGTGGCGGTGAGGTGTGGGAAGCTGTAAGCCCCAGGCTACTTTGGGCTCGCCTTCCCATCAACTAGAGGCGAGGAATGGTGGTTGTGGTTACTTATGCGCCCACATAAGACGAACATCCGTGGAGGGATGCAAGCAAGGCCGATGAGTCAGATGCCATCGATGACTTCTTGTCACAAGTGCTAGCTAAAGTGGCACCTCAGGATAGAGTCATCTTGTTGGGTGACTTCAATGCCCGAGTTGGTCATGATGCTGGCACCTGGGCTGGAGTGATTGGAAGGCATGGGCCAGATCAGCTCAATAACAACGGTAGGAGGCTGCTAGATTTTTGTGCAGCTCATGGGCTTGTAATTACCAACACGCTGTTTCGGCATCAGGGCATCCACACAACATCATGGATACATGCCGGGTCCAAGCAAGAACATCTGCTGGACTACATAGTGATGGAACAGCGGATGCGAGCCCATGTCCTTGACACCAGGACCTACCGTGGAGCTGATCTGCCCACTGACCATCGACTTGTCATCTGTAAGATGCGCCTACTATTTTTCCACTCCGGTGGTGGGTGTACACCCAGGAGCCCATTCAACCCCATTGTGGCATGGTCTCAGCTAGCTGATGAAAGTTGCAAGCAAGAATTTTATCATCGCTTGCGGCTGGGGTTGGCATCGTCCCCCACTCCTCCTGATGTCGAGGGGAAATGGGCGAGGTTTAAGACTGTGGCTCATGCAGCTGCAATGGCTGCTTTGGGTACACGGTCCAGACCTCCCCAGAGACCCTGGCTGACAAAGGAAGTATTCAGGCTGGCTGAGAAAAAGCGACAGGCCCACTCTCATCGTCTACAACATCCCACGTCAAAGAATGAGGAGGCTTACTGCAGTCTTCGCTCGGAGGTTCGGAGAGCCGTGAGGCACTGCAAGGATGGGTGGTGGTCGCGGGTTGCTGAGGAGATGGAGTCTGCCTCAATGGCCCGCGATCACAAATCGGTCTTTAACTCCATCAAAAAAGTAACCTGCAGCGTCACACCTATTACCATAATTTGTGGAAATAACGGTTAATTTGCTGAGCATTTCTGTGAGCTTCTGGAAAAGGGGAAATCCATCAGCCTGGAAAACACCATGGGACAGTGGGAATGACCCTGCTGAGGCTGCGATGCCTCATATTGGAAGAAGAAGTCACCCCCTGTGAGTGGCTGGCTGAGGTGTCATCTGTTGAGGAAATACTGAAGGCGATCCAGAGTCTGAGACCAGGAAAGGCACCGGGCAGAGATGATCTCCTGAGCGAAATGCTTAGGGAGGCTGGCTTTTGTGCACAGACTGTCCTACATGACATCATAACAACAGTCTGGACCACTGGACAGGTTCCACAGGATTGGAAGGATGTCCTGGTGGTCCCCCTCTTTAAGAAGGGGGACCTCACAGACTGTAACAACTACAGGGGCATCTCACTCCTCAGTGTGCCGGAATGGTCAAGCCTTTCCTCAGCATCGCCTTGCCAGGCATTACTAGGCCTAGACTCTGGGTTGTTCTTCGTGTTTTCAGAGTCCCTGATCCTCTGCTCACGATCATTAAGGACCTTCATTATGGTGAGCGGGCCCGGGTAAAACTACGTGGCCGGGAGTCGGAGCCATTCCCTGTTCACCTTGGGGTGCGACAGCGATGTCCTCTGGCTCCCACATTATTTAACATCTATTTTGACCACGTAGTTCATGAAGCCTTCAATAGCTGTACTGGAGGAATTTCCATCTGGTACAAATACAATGGGAGGCTGATCGATGCCCGGGTGCGGTCAAGGGATAGGTCCCTATTGCTTAACCATGTTATGTATGCCGATTATCTGGTAATTGCTGCTCACTCAGAGGTGGAGTTGGAGGCGCGGCTGCTTAACCTGGAGAGGTGGGGCCTTACCATCAGCCCCACCAAAACGAAGCACCTCCCTGGGTATTTTGTACCATCGGAAACTCCACTCCCACAACTCCCAATTGGTGATGGGGCAGTTGTGGAGAGAGTGGAGAGGTTCCCATACCTGGGCAGTGTACTCCCAAGAGTGTATAAAATGCTGTTCATGGCATATGTCTTGTGTGCGATGCTGGGGCGACTACCGTCATCGACATTCCAAATGTTATTGCTCGTGCATCTGCATTGTGCGAGTGTGTGAGTTGTACGCTTGTCTGCGGGCCTACATGTCTTCGTGTCTTTCGATGTTTAAATGTCAACGCATCCTGCCAGATTGACATCTCAGACAAAGTGCCGTGACGCCTCGGTGATTTAAACCGTCGCTCGTGACGGACACACCGGGACAAATTTAGTCAAAAACCCCGATGAAAATAAACATTCGCGGACAAGCGGGATTTGACCCATGATGTAAACGAATTATCCCATAATTGTCGTTAAAATCTGTGAGACGCGTTGTGCTGCTGCTGCTCTATTAACTAATCGGGCCACAATTTTGAGTATTTTGAATCAGCGGTCTAAACAAGGCCGTGCGAATGACACACGCGGCGCGGCGATGTCGCACGATACACTGGCTTGTGCGTATATTATTTATCACTCTGGTGGGTGGCTTTCACATCACTCGCGAAAGAGAGCGATAGACTCGGCTTAACTACCACCGGTGTCCCTGCGCGTGCAACGTCCGATTTGGCCCGACCCCGACCCGCCGTCACGGCTGCAGACCCCGCAGCAGTACGAGCACGAGTACAAGCGGCTGCGGCGGGAGTTGGGCGGCGCCGACGCGGCCACGGCCGGCGCGTCGCCCCACAGCAAGTTCCACGGCTACGCGTACGACGGCGTGTGGGTGATGGCCCAGGCGCTCCACCGCTCGATCGGCCTGCAGCGCGCATCCAGGGAGCCCAACGCCTCCATCGAGGCCTTCGGCTACGACAACGCGCACCTGGGCCGCACCATCCTGCGCGCCATGAACGAGACCAACTTCCAGGGTGTAACTGTGAGGACGCGTAGCCCACATTCTTGGCGAGCGCTTTAAGAAAAAAAAACACACAAAATCGTTTCTACCAATTTGATCCTGATTGTGCTATTGACATCACGTCACGAGACGAAGCGGCCGTGCGGATTTTTCGCAGTGCAGTCCTCCCAGGACAAGCTCCGAGCATTGCGGGCTGCCCCGTGCGGTGTTTGTGTGCAGTGCCATCTCACGGATGTTGCCATTGCCGGGTTCCCATTCTTTTGGCTTTTTAGTCAGCTTTAATCCGATTGTGCTATCGTCATCGCGGCACGAGACGAAGTCGCAATTTGGATGTCCAGCAGAGCAATGCAACCCGCTTCGCGTTAGCGAACGGCCCACAGAAGCATAATTCGTAGAGTTACCCCTGAGAACCCGTGCTCTGTAACAAAAAACGAAACACGTTCATCAGTAACACTGCCTTCACATAGTAGGAAGCGTGCACTTTTCCACCCACTCTGCCACTGAGAGTTATGCTAGTCGTGTACAATTTCAACCAAAATATGTTTTACTTCTCAGTAGGTGCAGGCCCAAATGTAACGCGGTGGCATGTTCGTGCAGTTATTGGTGATTGGGCAGAGACTTTCAACTCGTATCCCACCAATATCCTGGTGCTAGCGATAAAATAAAACGGCTTTGCGGGCCGAATGCCTTACTTGTACTCGGAGGTGGGCTGTATGGTCCACAGAGCGCATGAGGGGTCATCACATTGGCTTTGACTCTGGCGAAGGAGCCCACAATGACCTCCCCGGGCGTCTGGACGGAACGCCGCCGCCATAATGATCGCAGCTGTGACGCGGCGGGGGGACGCCGATCGTGTGCCGCACGTCACGGGGTGTCGAGTAACTCATTCGCAGAGGGGGTTGGGGCGAGGAGGGCAGGCGCCGCACGGGCAGTTTGGGCCAGCAGAGCGCAGAGGGGGTGCGGTGTGCATTCTGTGCCTGGCTCGGTACCACTGCGGGTGTTCACGAGCGAAGGAAATTAATGTGCGAATGCTGCAGTGACCGTGCAGAGTGGCTCTCTCGTTCTCTCTCTCGTTCTCTCTCTCTCTCCGCCGCATAATGTAGTTAGATTCATCTGTGAAAATGCAGACGCTCCGTTAAGAAGAAGAAGAAAAAAAAACAACTTGCAGCATTTGCAGTTAAAACCTTCGACGGCATTAATGAAATGGGAGTGAAAGCACTCGCGCAGCCGCCGGCACATTAGTAGCCGCGTTCCTCCACGCCGCGCGGAGCGACAAGCTGCTCGATAATGGTCGGGGTCCGGACGGCAAATTCGCTGGCGCACATCACCGACACCGGCATTTACTGGAGATGCTGATGCAAGCACGGGCGGGCGCGCGCACAGGCTGCTGTCTGGAGATGCTTCCCCCGACACGCTTGTTTCTGTTTGGAACGTCGCTCCCACCGCGATAGATCGTCGCGTGACACGGCAGCTGTAACACAAAACAGGCAGCACGAAAGGCCTGCGAGCGGCGGACACGGCACGCGCCCTCTGTGCCTCCAGCGGCGACGCCGAGACCGCCGCTTGGCCTATGCGGTCCACTTCCTTGAGCGGAGTCGCCACCTCTCCTCGCTGCTTTCCCCGAGGATTTTCCTCTCGATTTCAAGGTAGCTGGGACATCTGCGAGTCTGCGCGGGACATTAAAAAGTCACGGGGTTTTGTCGGCGCTCGAGACGGTGCTCTTTCATGCAGGGTCTCCTCTTTCTTCTCCAAACGATTCGTCTCGGTAGAAAAAAATCATTTGCGCCTTAGAGTGTGAGTGGTTTTGCTGCTCAAATGAGCCTTGAGGACACCACTTGGTTCCCTCTTCACAGCCACGAACCAGGGGTGGACATTACACGATCCTCTGGTGGTGGCGATGTGTGCAGGTGAAGTCAACTCACCGTTGACTTCACCTGCACACAACGCAGTATACTCGTTGCAATGTCCCTGAATGAACGGCGCGAGGGGGGGGCGTGTCAACCCCCAACCGGGATTTGAACTCGCGAAGCTTTTCCCATCGCGAGCCGCTCGCCCGACCGCTCGGCAAACCCCGGCGGGTTCAAGAGGCGGCGGGGGACGCGAATATCGCGTCGCCGTCGCTGCTTCCATTTCGGGGCAGGTTCCCCTCGTCCTCTCCAGCCCATCTCCGTTCGCCTGGCCGGGGGATGTGGAGAGCAAACTCTGGTGGGGGGGAGGGGGGGGCGGCCTTTGTTCTCCGGTGTGGGGGGGGGCGGCAGCTGATTAGGGTCCGGCATTCTGCGTTGAGGCGGAGATGCGGCGCGTTCGCAGCGCTTGCGATGGGAAAACTGCTACTTGGCAATGGACGCAGGTGAACACGGCGGTGAAACGAGAGGATAGGGAAGAGGAGGAGAGAGGGAGCGAGAGGGAGTGCGACAGGGAACGCGACAGGGAGCGCAGGGTGCAGGGAAGTGGAACGCCTCTGGCGAGCGGAGAGACGTTGCCCCCTTTGCGATCGCTGAAATGTGACACGGCCCGACAGCTCCATAAATATGAAGCGTGGCCGGGGGCCGAGGCGGCAGGCGGGCTCGGCGTGCGTCAAACGACCTGCAAGAGTTGAAGGGTCGGGCGAGATGCAAATCTCCGGAGGAGAGAGGTCGATTTGGGCGAGGGAAGAAGAAACCGCGGCGAGAGGAGCAATATCCCGCGAGGCGCGTGCTGCTGGCAGCCGTCAACTGGCGCGATCAACACGGAAAGCGCCTCCGTCTGGCAGGGGAATGCCCCGGCAGCATTTATGCTGAGAAAATGCACGCTGCCTACGAAACGAGGCCCTCTCTCTCACCAGTCGCTCAAATCGCATTGCATAATGACGTCACCAATGTGCACCCGAGGGACGTGCAACGTGTGATTACGAGTGTGTCTGTGCACGTGTCCGTGTGTCTGTGCACGTGTCCGCGTGTCTGTGCACGTGTCCGTGTGTCTGTGTATATGGGGAGCGATAGTGCAGCGGTCAGCGCACTGCGCTACGAACCTGACGACGCGGGTTCGAATCACGCTCACGGCCAACACCAGTGACGATTATCTGAACAGGATCTGGGCCTTTCCTAGGTAGACTCAGCCTCAAATGAGTACCTGGTGTGGTGTGTAAACATCGCCACTAGGGAGACAAAGGCGGCCGCGCGTGGTGCTGGCCACCCACCCCCTCGTGTGCCGTGCCTGCTTTCATAGGTGCTACTCGCTAATACCACTTCAGTCTGTGAAGGCCATATGGGAAACATTTGTTTATGTGCATCATGAGTATGAGGAATGGTGGCACAGTGATTGATTCCTGCTCCTGACTAACATCGGTGACGAATTTCTAAACTGGTATTGGGCCTCCTCCGCGTTGACTCGGCCTCAAATGAGTACCTGGTGTGTGTTGCTTACATATCAGTACTGGGAAGACAAATACGGGTGGGCGTGGTGCTGACCACCCACCCGCTCGCATGTCGCATGGGTCTTCATAGGTGCTCGCTAACAGCACTCGCCCCAACGTCTGTTGAGGCTACATGGGGGGTCTTTGCATACACAAATCCGTGAGTGCTTATGCACGCACTCGCGTCATGTGCGTGTCACCGCTCGCAAACCATGCGCCCGTTCCCCACGGATCTTCCTCGGCTGCGCCGGTGGCGCAGTGTCAGCACTGCCCTGGCTGGCGATAGTGACGAGACGGACACTCACTCCGCTTGCATCCGTCGTGGACCCAGAACCACGACTGCCTTGGCTGAGTGCCTTTTCTCCGTAGCTGCACCAAGCCGTTTGAAGCTCTCTCCCACTGCACTAACGCAAATTCAAGCAGATCGAGGCTCTCATAAATTCAGGCTATCACCAGCCCAGACTCTCTCACCACTCCAGACTCTCTCACCAGTCCAGGCCTACACATGAGGAACTTTGAGCGCTAGCTGCATGTCACAAGTGTTCTCGATCGAACATTTCAACCGATTCGCTCAGCGTGTGTGTTTATGTTATAAATTGTGTTTATTGTTGTTTTATGATTGTAGGGGCAGGTTATCTTCAGGAACGGTGAGAGGCTCGGCACGATCGAGTTCACCCAGTTTCAAAGTGAGTGCTCCACTCTCTCGCGTGAAACATTTCCCAGTTGTCAATGGGGGTGGGGGGAATAATCAGCTCTACAGCAATATCGAAGCCTGCACTGTAGCAATCCATTATTTGTGCTAAAATGCTAGACGGTAAATATTTCATGACTGCTGCCAGACATTGACAAAATCATTAATTCATCCAGAAAAGCCTCAAGATATATATATATTTTTCGAGCAACATTGAGAAATGTGGCCATTTCTGGTTCATAAAGAAATAGACATCTAAGAGGAAAGTGGTTACCTAGAGGAAGCCCACCCATTATGAGGAGATGACAATCAAACATTTGCACCGATGAGCTCATGATTCACTGGCCTTACCACCATCTTCTGGCCTCGTCAAAACCAAAGAGGATCGTGACCCTCACAATTCTGCATGATCCACCCAACCTTGGCTTCGAATGAGCTGGCATGTAAGTGCGCCACCATCACCAACACCACCACCACCACCACCACGGCCAAATGGAGTCACGTGATTGCACTGTGGTGTCAATCGCGAGTTCACGTGACCACGTGCGCCTGTGTCCGCTGCACTGCGTGACGAACCCCGGCGATCCCATCCGAGTTCGATTCCCGCTCACTACCAACATCGGTGACCAGTTATCCGAACCAGTCCTGGGTCTCTGCTAGACCAGCTCAGCCTTGAATGGGTACCTGGTGCGATGTGTTAACATTGCCACTGGGGAGACGAAGGTGGGCTGGGTGCTGGCCACCTATTTCCTCGTGTGCCATGCTCTTCTGACAGCACTTACCCCTACAGTCTGAGGCTTTAAGGGGGCGGGGGGGATCTTTGTCTTTGTTTCCGCGTGCGCCCCCCGGCCAGATGGGCAAAGAGTGAAGGTGGGCGAGTACAACGCCGTCGCCGACCAACTGGAGCTCAACAGAACGATCCTCTTCCAAGGTGAGCCACGCGAACGGCCCAGGCGGCGAGCACTGCCGGGCTGCCTGCGTGCGTGCGGGCGTGTGTGGGGGAGCGGATAGCGATTGTAGTTATTTCACGCCAGATCGTCTCTGGCTTAGGGCGCATGTACGAGTGTGTGGCATGTGTGCCCTACTCTGACCTGCGAGTTCCAAGCCTGGAGCTCGCAGCTCGGAGCGGAGTTTGCAGGTCGGAGCAGATTTTGGAGTTGCAGGGTCGAAGTGGCCGGGCCTCACGCGTGACCCCCCACCCCCACCCCCACTTGCGCAGGTGCGACGCCACCGCGGGACCACACCTTCGTGGTGAGCAGGCGGCGCGAGGTCTCCCTGCTGCTCTACAGCATCCTGGCGATGCTCACCTGCCTCGGCATGCTCATGGCCTCCACCTTCCTCTTCTTCAACATCAAGAACCGCAACCACAAGTCAGGCCTCCTCCCCTCAGCCACCGCTCGCCACACGCACAGCAGCACCGCACCGCGCACCGAGCTGCTCCCCGCAGAATCGTTCGGTGACAGCCGGACTTAACCTCGGAACCTCGGTGGCGGTGCCATCCCCTGGGCCCGTTACGGGAAAATCTCGCGCGAGAATGAAAGGAAGCAGACAATGAAACGAGCGCAGTTTAATGACACAGTGTTTGCCTCGTTGGTATCCACCGCTCTGTTGTTCAGTTGTTGTTTGTGTGTGTTTCATTATGTGTGTGTTTGTGTTTTATTATGTGTGTTCTATTATGTATGTGTGTGTTTTATTATGTGTGTGTGTTCCCAGGCTCATTAAGATGTCGAGCCCCTACATGAACAACCTGATCATCCTGGGGGGCATGTTCTCCTACATGACCATCTTCCTCTTCGGCCTGGACGGGGCCCTCGTGTCCCCGGGCACCTTCGAGAGAGTGTGCACCGTGAGTGGCGTGCGCGGGGGGGGGGGGGGGTGGTTGGGGGAGGGCACGGGCCGGAGGTGCCCCCATACCTGTCAACCCCTTGTCAGTGCCATACCTTATTACAGACCAAATCAGATCTTATTGGTCACCTCCTGCACTTGTAAATTTCAACGTTCATCCTACAAAGTCCCATCACAAGGGAGAAACACCAACGAGTAGACAACACTTTTTTTGCCCGTATTGAAACGCCTCTACGCCGTATGGACCTGAAAACTCAAGTTCCCTGCACAAGATTACGGGGTAAACCGTGTGGGTTGACAGGTATGTGCCCCCCCCCCCCAGGTGTGCTGTCACACCACAAAATCGGACACCCAACGAAGTCACCGATCAGAGTTGGTGCACACTGTTTTGGCAAGTGGACGTGGTGTGGATCTTGAATCGAGGTTACATTAGTATCGATTTTGCAGACGCTCAAGATTGATCGGGCAGACAATCTTGAAAAATGCCATTGGGTTCATTGGCAAGCGATACTTGGATTGAGCAGTTGTGTGGCACACCCCCCTTTATTTGAGTGGCTAAAATCAGCAAGATCGGTGACTCCGCCGCTACGAGGCGAAGATTCCCCGCAGTGAGCTAACCGCTACACTACCGGCTCCTACACACACACACAGAGACCGCTACACTACCGGCTCCTACCTACACACACACACAGACTGCTACACTACCGGCTCCTACACACACACACACAGACTGCTACACTACCGGCTCCTACACACACACACAGAGACCGCTACACTACCGGCTCCTACACACACACACAGAGACCGCTACACTACCGGCTCCTACACACCCACACAGACCTCTACACTACCGGCTCCTACACACACACACAGACCGCTACACTACCGGCTCCTACACACACACACACACAGACCGCTACACTACCGGCTCCTACACACACACACACACACAGAGCGCTACACACACACAGACCGCTACACTACCGGCTCCTACACACACACACAGAGACCGCTACACTACCGGCTCTTACACACACACACAGAGACCGCTACACTACCGGCTCCTACCTACACACACACACAGACCGCTACACTACCGGCTCCTACACACACACACAGACCGCTACACTACCGGCTCCTACACACACACACACAGACCGTTACACTACCGGCTCCTACACACACACACACAGACCGTTACACTACCGGCTCCTACACACACACACAGACCGCTACACTACCGGCTCCTACCTACACACACACACAGACCGCTACACTACCGGCTCCTACACACACACACAGACCGCTACACTACCGGCTCCTACACACACACACAGACCGCTACACTACCGGCTCCTACCTACACACACACACACAGAGAGACCGCTACACTACCGGCTCCTACACACACACACAGACCGCTACACTACCGGCTCCTACACACACACACAGACCGCTACACTACCGGCTCCTACCTACACACACACACAGAGCACTACACACACACAGATCGCTACACTACCGGCTCCTACACACACACACAGACCGCTATACTACCGGCTCCTACACACACACACAGACCGCTACACTACCGGCTCCTACACACACACACAGACCGCTACACTACCGGCTCCTACACACACACACAGACTGCTACACTACCGGCTCCTACACACACACACAGACCGCTACACTACCGGCTCCTACACACACACACAGACCGCTACACTACCGGCTCCTACCTACACACACACACAGAGCACTACACACACACAGATCGCTACACTACCGGCTCCTACACACACACACAGACCGCTATACTACCGGCTCCTACACACACACACAGACCGCTACACTACCGGCTCCTACACACACACACAGACCGCTACACTACCGGCTCCTACACACACACACAGACTGCTACACTACCGGCTCCTACACACACACACAGACCGCTACACTACCGGCTCCTACACACACACACAGACCGCTACACTACCGGCTCCTACACACACACACAGACCGCTACACTACCGGCTCCTACACACACACACACAGACCGCTACACTACCGGCTCCTACACACACACACAGACTGCTACACTACCGGCTCCTACACACACACACAGACCGCTACACTACCGGCTCCTACACACACACACAGACCGCTACACTACCGGCTCCTACACACACACACACAGACCGCTACACTACCGGCTCCTACACACACACAGACCGCTACACTACCGGCTCCTACCTACACACACACACAGAGCACTACACACACACAGATCGCTACACTACCGGCTCCTACACACACACACAGACCGCTATACTACCGGCTCCTACACACACACACAGACCGCTACACTACCGGCTCCTACACACACACACAGACCGCTACACTACCGGCTCCTACACACACACACAGACCGCTACACTACCGGCTCCTACACACACACACACAGACCGCTACACTACCGGCTCCTACACACACACACAGACTGCTACACTACCGGCTCCTACACACACACACAGACCGCTACACTACCGGCTCCTACACACACACACAGACCGCTACACTACCGGCTCCTACACACACACACACAGACCGCTACACTACCGGCTCCTACCTACACACACACACAGACCGCTACACTACCGGCTCCTACCTACACACACAGACAGACCGCTACACTACCGGCTCCTACACACACACACAGACCGCTACACTACCGGCTCCTGCACACACACAGAGAGACCGCTACACTACCGGCTCCTACACACACACACACAGACACGGTTGTCTGTGTGTGTGTGTGTAGTGGTTAGCGCGCTGCGCTACGAACTCGGCGAGCCGAGTTCAATTCCCGCTCACGGCCAACACCAGTGACAATTATTTGAGCCGGTTCTGGCCACCCACCCTCTCGTGCGCCGTGCCGGCCTTCATAGGTGCTCGCTAACAGCACTTGCCCCAACAGTTTGTTGCAGGCTATATGGGGAATATTTGGCATATTTATGTGATAACACAAAACAGGGTTGTATTATTTAATCGACCTCTGTTTAATTGGGGTCATCACGACGACTGCCAGTCACAAGCAGAATGTTTTTGTATTTTACCCAGGCCTAACTTGTGTGTTTTTTTCAGTGTAAAAAACACACAATGCGACATCACAGTTTAATTGTGTAACTTTTAGCTATAATAGACAGACATGTCGTACGCAGTGCACGTTGCTCGTATGCATGGCATTGTCACAACACACATACAAAGATCCCCCGTACAACCTTAACAGACTATTGGGGCAAATGCTGTTAGCGAGCACCTATGAAGGTCGGCACGGCGCACGAGGGGGTGTTTGGCCAACACCACGCCCGACCGCCTTTGTCTCCCCAGTGGCGATGTTTACACATCGTACCAGGTACTCATTTGAGGCTGAGTCGACCTAGGTGAGGCCCAGAACCGTTTCAAATAATCGTCACTCATGTTGTGCGTGGTTCATAGCGCAGTGCGCTCACCGCTACCCTACCACATTGTCACATCGCACCCACACACACTCACGTGCGCGTACACATGAGTCATGGTCTCATTAAATCAACTGAGCAGGTATTGTGAGTGTCCCCCCCCCCCCCGCTTCAAGTCATTATTTAAAGTCGTTTAGAGGATAATTAAGTCGTTTGTTGTTGCCCCAGAGATTGCCCCCGGAATTCGGCCGCTGTTCTCGTCAACAGCATTGACAGTCGTTGCTTGAGCGCAAGGGGCGAGCAGCCGAGCGCTGCCACACGCAGAGTCGCCGAATTTCGCTCCGTCAAACGCCGGCTCCGTCGCTGGCATCACCGACCCGGCCTCTGCCACTCCACGCTACCTTTGCTTCAATCGCACCCTGGCCCCGTCGCGCCCCTCCGACCGTGGTTTCTCGTCGTTGTCGCCATCACCTCCGCTCGCTCCTCGGTTGTGCTCCATCCCCCATCTCCCCCCCCCCCCCCACCTTGGCACCAGGGTCGTGACAGTGGTGCACGAGGGGAACAAAATAATTTCAACGGCGAACGTTTCAGGCTCTTTAGTCTCGAGACACGGCAGAGAGATTGAGCGATGTTCACCTTTAACACCTGCAGGCTCTCGCAGCCAATATGAGTCATTATTGATTTGTGGGTCGGGCCACGTGCGAGCGATTTTTCTTTTTGCACCCTCCTCCACCCAACAGCCAATTGGAGAAAGAAAAATACAAGTTGTGGATCGCTCTCCAACACCACTCCAGTAGTGCTGCTGAAGCAGTCATCAATCGGCACGTTTGTTCACGTGACAACATTATTAAGTGGCTGCGTCAGGTGGAGGAGGGTGTATGACACACATTTGTCTCGCGCGAACTGACCCGAAACAAATGTACGAGTTTCGCCCCTCGGCTCTTCGCAAATCACAATGTCCCTTCGACGTTTTTTAAGGCGCCGCAGCCGAACGTGCGATCTCCCACCACGAATCGGCCAACCTCTCTTCCCTCTCTCCACCCTGCAAAAGGACCATCGTCTGAAACATCAGCTGACTAATAAAGCCGACGATGGAGAATGAGGAGGGTGGTGACCCACTCCAACCCCCCCACCCATCTCTCTCTCTCCCGACGCAGGTCCGCACGTGGTTCCTCACCGTGGGCTACACCACGGCCTTCGGGGCGATGTTCGCTAAGACGTGGCGCGTCCACGCCATCTTCAAGAACGTTAAGATGAAGAAGAAGGTGAGAACCCTGCCGCATTCGCCTTGCGGAGGAAAGGAGGGGGCGGGGGGCAGCTCTAATAGCACAATAGGAGGACGATGCCGAAATGTGTTAAACTGGGTAAGAATCACTTTAACTCGGAGCGGGGCTTTCCCGACCAATATTATTCACAAAGGTTTTTGGGTTTGATCGCGTAAGTATAAATGTTTCGTCTCCCTCCACCACCCGACACAGCCAATTAAGAAGAGATATGTCACTTAAACAAAACGCCAATTAGTTTCCACTTCAGCCCACCGGTGTGTTGGAGAGTAAATCCGCAACAAGGTCGCGTAGACACGAGCGTGAGTCGAGCTCGGCGTGCGTCTGGACAACATTGCAAGGCAGCCACCGGTCCTTAACATTCCGTTCTCGCGCACGATGGCAGCGGCAACATGTCCAGGGGCTCAACAGCGACGTCGAGGTCTGCAAGCCGCGAGGAGAGGGCTTCAGGAGAGAGTTCGTGTCGTTTCCTCCTCCGACGATGGAGTGCAGGCTGCGGTGGTTCACTCTCTGTGTGCCATAGTTAGGTTGCATGGCCTCGATCCAAAGTACGGCAGTGATGCCACACGAAAAGTGCCGTAGCAGCTTCACCTTTATGATGAATCGTGATTACATTCGAGCCCTCTAGAGAATGTTGACTTTGGCAAAAATCTTTTGGGCAGATGGTGGTTACCTGCGCATAGTGGCAAAATTGTTTTCGCCATCGGCTGCATATTCTATGGCAGGAGGCTATCATTGTCGTAGACGCCACCACGTCTGACCTCAAATAGAAACGCCGGGTCTTTGCAAGGACAGCGCTGGTAAAAGCGCACGCAAAATGACAAATCGCCGGCACCGTCGTTATTCACAAGAACTGCCTCGCGAACTGAAAAATGTGTAATCAACCGAGGCTTAGGACAACACGCCTTCCTCAAAGCAGAAAAAAACGGGAGCAGATACGGCAAATTGTGATTTATACTGCGGGGAAAATGCATTCGAGTCACAATATCGTGGAGCACATTCGTATAAATCATCACTTGTAAATTCATTCCGCGTTTGCTCCTCTGAAAAATTACCGCAGCCTGAAAACGTTACCCGATTGGCCGTGCTTTTAAGTTTGCGGCGTATGCACGGTTAAACGTGTGGGATAGGAAAGGTTTATTTTGTTTTATTATAATAATCATGTCATCTTGCACCCACCCACGTGCGGTGTCTTGATCACTGCGATGTCTCCAACGCACGCGGATTGCTCACGCGAATTGTGCTGCGGTCACCGGGTTTGATCGCGGGCTCGGGCAGGCGGGCGGGCGGGTGGACGGGTGCGTGGGCTGCCGGGCCGGACCTGCGCTCGCGCGCAATCAAAATAGCGCCGTCGGCAAAGAGAGACGCGGCGATAACTCACCCCGGTTACACGCGGGAGCGGGGACCGGCGGCTCACCAAACCCCCACGCTCGCCGTGGGGGTGTGACGACTACGCGCGTACACGACGCGTGCGCGCGCTCGCGCAAACTGACACCATCCATTACCTGCGTCTCCCTCGCTCCACCGTGGCACACAGCGCCCCGGCTCGGGTTCGGCTCGGACGGGAAGGCATCCCCGGTGTCGTTCGTTTTCTTTCCCCTCGTGTGGTGCCGTGCTTATTGACTGCCTCGGCGCAGCTTCACAGCAGCGCTGCGGAGTGATGACGCTGCAGAATTGGACGGGCCACTCTGCAGGCGTGCCGGCCAGCGCCTGTTGTATCGCAGGAACATTCCACACGCACACACACATGTTGTGCACAGCATATATCGCTGAGACCGAAACAAGCAAAATAAAAAGATCTCCCATATAAGCCTGCAGGGACTGTTGGGGCAAGTGCTGTTAGCGAGCGCTCATTAGGCCTGGCACAGCTCACAGGCATCGTGCATGGCTGCCGTCGTATCGCCAGTGCTGATATTTACACGCTGATGTTAAACCACGGCTAGGAATCGAACCCAGGTGGGTGGGTTCGTAGCACAGCGCGTTCCCCACGACACCCACTGCTCCGTGGGACCGTACGCGTGCAGAGAGCCTCGTGTAGCCCCACTCAGAGCCACGCATCCTCCGATCCGATCGGCCTGCGCAACCGAGATGATCGCGCTGAGTGGACGCCTTCCACTGCCCCCTGCCTTGAATCAATCCCGTGGCTTCTGATAATTCCGGGATTCTTTCGTTCACTTCTGCCTTCACTGCGTCTCTGCATCACATCCTGCGCCGTACCACTTTCCGTATTCCCTGGTCGTACCTTTGCAGTGCTAAACCTCGCATTCTGTCCAGTTTCATTTTCATTATCCAAACCATCATCTTCTCTGTCAGCGGCGTTTTCCGTCCAAGTCTTCCTCCTATTTGTGTTTGTTCGTTATCACTCTTGTTGTATGCCCACCACTCTTTTTCACGAGGGTCCGGATCATTTTGTAGTAGGCGGCAATGGTTGAGTCATCTCAAGGTACATTTTCAGCATTGGGATGTTTGGCCAATGTAGCTATCAGTGGAAATCGATTAAGCCTGAGGAAACCCGTGCAGGACAGGGGGAGAACATACACACTCCACACAGAAAGGTGGCCGAGTCCGGAATCCAACCCAGGAGCTTCTTGCTGAGGTACAAGCGTTACAACCGCGCCACCCATAGGCACACACAGCCACGTACAATGCAGCTGGGTGAAACAAAGACAAAGATTTCCCTCCTGTAGCCTTCACAGACTGTTGAGGCAAGTGCTGTTAACGGGGTGAAACGCCCACACTGACGGGCACACATGCACAAACGCACACGCACACACACGCACACACGCACACACGCGCACACGCACACACGCGCACACGCACACACACACGCACACACACACACACCCGGGCGGGTAGCGCTGCACTCGGCCGCTCGTCCCCTCGGAGGTTTTGCTGCCTCGCTACTCGGGGAAACGGCAACAACATTTGTACCGACGAGGAAAAAAACACCATCCTGTCACATTTATGTTGCCGTAAAATGGTCCCATTCAAAAGCAGGAAGCAGTTGTAGCTGTGAAAGAGTCTGAATGGCCAAACATTCTAAAGGCCCTTTCGGAGTGACCTCCATTCAGCTTGAGAGGCATGAACGTTTTCGAAGATTATGATAATGGTAACGTTGATAGGGCAATGCTACCGGTAACAACGGTGCTGCTACGTGCAGCGGTGACACTGTATAGCTATCGTGCTTGATGTGAGACAGATTGGCGTACACTTTAGGCGTGCCAGCCACCACGTTTATGGAACAGTAGAGTCAGACGCCTGATGCATAATTCATCTTGCTGCATTTTAAATGTTTGATTGAGGAAAGTAATTCAATCACAACTTGGCTGAGTGAAAAAAAAATAATTCTCGAGACTTGTCGTCGCTTTTCCTGCTAATCGACTCCGATGGCCTGAGAGGTAGATTTTAGCGAATGCTCTTTTTTGCCCTGTAATTAATTCCCAGCACTGCACTTCCTCTGTACATTCTTAATGTGTATGAATGAACTTATGTACACGGGAGTGCTCTGGCTTTCCGAACGCGCAAACCACCGTGCGATGGGGTGGAGCGGGGTGGGGGCGAGGTCTGTCATCATCCCCAGTGCCGACCCAGGACCTCTGCTCACGCGAGAGAGTCAATCTCAAAATGAAACTCAATTTCCTCTGTCGTCTAATATTCGTAATAAGTGCTCAAGGCTCAAACAGCCACACGTGGTTGGGGTTGATGTGTACGACCGCCAGGCTAGCGATTGTGCCACGCGGTCCAAATTGTACAACTCTGTCCACACCTGGGACCACGCATGCTGATGAGCAGACAAGCACACGCGGCACATTCACACGTGCACAGACAGCAGCGGGCGTTTGCTCCCGCCGATCTGGTGAGCCGGGACGCCAAACGCTCATGCAACCACTGGCCACGGATCTGGTTTTCTAGCAACATCCCGAACGTGCGGCACATTGCGACATCGCTCTCAGCACCGATGGGTGAGAAGCTGGTGCTTCCTGTGACGAGGAGACAGTCACACAGGCTAAGTCTGGGAGTCCCACAGGTTGCGTCGTCAGTTGCCCTTGGCTTCACTATGCTCGGTGCACTCACCGCTCTCCCAATTCCTCAAAAGCGAATGACCTGCCCACCCACTCTGACCCCTAATCCTAAATTCCACCTCTTCACGAAGTCGACTTTGCACTGCCTGCGCACACGACACGACATATACATCAGCGTTCGGCTTTGGTGTAATTTTCGTTTTTCCTCCCCACGCAGATCATCAAAGACCAAAAGCTGTTTGGGATCGTGGGCGGCATGCTGCTCATTGACCTGGTCATCCTCATCTCCTGGCAAGTGCTGGACCCCCTGAAGCGCATTGTGAATGACTACCCCAGGGAGGTGGGTTTGGCCTGCGTCGTGTGAGATGTATGTATACACGTTGAGCTTTCACACCGTACGCAGCCAACCGCGCTAATCGGATCGACTCGGTCTATGCAGAGCACGGTGCAGACTGCACTGTGTGATGAGAATAATAAGTGGTGGTGGTGGGACATAGAACAAGGGAGCTGCTACGGTGGTGTCACGGTTAGCACACTGGACCTGCAAGCCAGAGGTCGCTGGTTCGATTCCATCTTCCAGCGTGCCAGTTGATCCAATGGGGCGAGTTTATTAAATCCCCCCCCCCCCTCTACCGCCTTTGTCCACCCAGCGGCAGTATGAATGGATGCATCACAGGGAAGTCGATCGACAGCGCGCCATAGTAGCCGGATGTTAACTACCTCGCCTGGTTTTCAGGAGATCGTGGTTTCAATCCCTATCCCGACCCCTGTATATCTCGAGTTTGCATGTCCTCCCCGTGGTCGCGTAGATTTTTCTCCGGCTCCTCCTGTTTTTCCCTCCTCATTTAGAATCAACGTGCGTTTGGAGTATGTGGCTGCTTTAAATGTCCCCACAATAAGCCACTTAGTTGAGCTATTACTCGTGGTCAGGTCATTTCTGAAAGATAACTGCATAGCTCAGTGGACCTTACCTGGTAGAACAAAAATAGCTAGGCATGGCGTGGCGGGGTCAAGTGTGGGTATGCGCTCACCTTATTCAACACGCATGGAAGAATAGACCAAATACCACCTCGAGTTCGCTCCAAAGGGAAGGCCATTCTGCCAGCGGCGGCGTGAGCCAGCAAGTGCGGGGTTGCACCTTTACCTTCTCTTTCATCTCGAATACTGCTTCCCAAACGCCGCTTCTCGCGACCCACCGTACTGCCAACGCTGCTCAGAGTTTCGTCCATTTTACCTTACCCTTCAAATGCAAATTAAGCCACTGCACACTGCACGCGCCTGATGATTGGTAAACACGTGCGCTGTCGGCAATTTTTTTTTCTGGCGGAGCACGAGCGGCCGCTTGGGGGTGGAGGGGGGAGGCATAAACATGGAGTGTGTTCGACTGTGAAACCGTAGATTAGAGAAGGAGTTTGCTGACAGTTTGATAGCGGTGAGCTCGGGGTTCATTGTCAGTCGGAGTGCCACCTCTCCTGACGAAACAACCCAATCTCTGCGCGGCAGCGAAGCCCTGTTCTGTAATTCTCTCTCTCTCTCTCGCGGCGGCTGCGTCGTCGTTGTCGAAAGACGCCGGCGGGCTCGTAACGGTGCAAAGCGCTCCGGCTGGTGTGGGGGAGCAAAAGGGTCAAGGCGAGCATGCACTGGGGGACGGCAGCCAGAGGCTCGCAGGTGGCCGCGCGTCGGCAGCCTCGCGGCAGCAGCAGACGCAGCAGCAGACACAGCAACAGCAGACACAGCAACAGCAGACACAGCAGCAGCAGACACAGCAGCAGCAAACACAGCAGCAGCAGACACAGCAACAGCAGACACAGCAGCAGGCACAGCAAACACAGCAACAGCAGACACAGCAGCAGCAAACAAAGCAACAGCAGCAAACACAGCAGCAGACAGCAATAGCAAACGCAGCAACAGCAGACGCAGCAACAGCAGACGCAGCAGCAGACACAGCAAACGCAGCAACAGCAGACGCAGCAGCAGCAAACATAGCAGCAGCAGACGCAGCAACAGACGCAGCAGACAGCAGCAGCAGTAGACGCAGCAACAGACACAGCAGCAGCAAACGCGGGTTCGGTAAATGAATTCCGAGCCGAGATGTAGTCCTGGTCGCTCTGTGTCCACGCAGCGACACGCGTGTCCTCTTCCTCCTCCTGCTCCTTGTTGACAGGGTTGGAGTCGAGCAGGTAACACGATGCCGTTTGACGTGCGGTGGCCGTCAAGTTCAACGGAGGTGAAGTGATGGGGGCAAAAATCAATTGCGGCACAGGTGCTAAATGATTGTAATCGGCCTGTAATGTGCTGCTGAATAATGGAGGATGATTAATTTTGCATGGGTCGCTAATTGTGCCCATGAGGAACGGCAAACACAGCTGACCCCGCGACACCGTGACACGCAGGATTATAAAATCAATGCTCATTAATGGGCCTAGGCACGGTTGACCCCGGCGCTATTTATAGCTCAGTTTTGCGCTCTTTAACGCTCCCAGAATGTTAATTCGGCAGCACTGTGGGGTGCGAATGCGTGTGCGCGCACGCGTCCGCACGCGCGCGCAGCCTCGCCGACCTCGCCGTCTCGTGCCCGCGGCAGTGACGCGGGGTCCTCGTTCGCGGTGGTCGCCCACGCCGGTTGCTCGGACCCCGCGCCCGTCATCAGCCAGCGCCGGGAGGCTTTCCCCGCGTGCTCGGCGGCAGGCACTGGGGCCGCGTGCGGACGTTGGCGCACTCCCAGCGTGAAGCAGCCGCGACGGGCCTCCATTTCATTGATGAACAGCGAAGCGAGCTTCACGCATTTCATTTGGACGTCGTCGGCAATTGTTCTCTGCACGACGTGGCGATATGTGAATGACCTCGTCTGGTATACAGGAGGTTGTGTATAGTTGGAGTTTGCATCTTGTCCCTGTGATTGCGTGGATTTTTCGCCAGGTCCTCCGGTGTTTCCCGTCACATTTTAGAATCAATGCACGTTTACAGTATTTGGCTGCTATAAAGTTGTACATAAGCCACTTCGTTGAGCAATTATATGCGGCCAGGTTGTCTGTAAAAAAGATCTATATAGCTCAGTGGGACTTATCTGGTAATATAAAAAATACAGGTAGTTTAATAGTTTAGTTTACTAGTAATTTAAAGTGGCAAGCGCACGGTTGTATATCGCTCGCGAGGCATTCTCTGAATGGGCCCGATCTTGCTTTGAGCCTGACTCGTACTCGGATGGGGGACTGCTTGGGAATAACGAGAGATGTGGACTTGGGATGCGACTTGGCCAGGAAGTGGCCGTGCAGCAGTGGATTCCTTCATCTATCCAAGTTTATTTGCTTTTACCTCACATGCTTGGGGTCTCTTGAAAGGTGCATTGGCTTCGTCCAATGTACCAAACGCCAAACATCCCAATGCAGTGAGGCAATGCTTTTATTTTATTAGCTATAGATCTCTTTTTCAGAAGCGACCTCGCCACAAATGATTGCTCAACGAAGTGGCTTATTATCTTGCAATTTAGAGCAGCCAAATGCTCTAAACGCATGTTTCTAAATGTGGAAGGAAAACCCAGAGGACATGCAAACATTCAAACTCCAAATATACAGGCATCAGGGTCGGGATCGAACCCACAACCTCCTGTAATGTAGGCGAGGTAGTTAACATCTCTCCACAGTGGAGAGATGTTATCCTGCACTCTCATTATCTGCCATGGTCTATTCACTGCTGGATGAAGGCCTCCCCAAGCCGCCACCAGCTATGGTGATTCTGCAATGTAATGCAAGTACCTAGCACCTGCATACGAGTCGGTTTTATCGCTCCACTTCCTTCATCAGCATTCCCATTGAGTTACGTTTGACATCATTCTATCTGGGATGTCGGTGGGAATCGCGACAGGGATTGCTGCAAAAGCGGTGCGATGCGGTATAGGGGGGCGACGTTGTCTGGAATGCCTCGTGTGTGCGAAGGGCTCACAGTTCCCGAAATGTCTGGGACGAGTGCCTCTGATCGGTCCCACGGTGGGTGCCGGAACGTCACTCTGCCTGCAAGGGTAAAGATTGCGCAATGAAATTGATTCATTTCTCGTTGACTGCGTCCATGCTGCCACCTCGGAGAGGGGGAAAGAGCCATCAGTCTTGATCTAGATAACAGTAATGATGGCAGCGGGCGGTCGAGCGCTGAGCGTGGAGGGGGCTGCGAACCCGGAACCGCATCCAGGAGGCGATGTGCCGACCACCCGGCTGTTTGTCGCCTTCGCCGCGTCAGTGCTCTTCGATGCTCATGCCGGCGCTCGAATGAAATCAGATTATTTTTCTTATTCTCGTTTTTTTCCTTCCAAACTCGTTCCGCTTTCACGAAGACGCATCGGACGCCCTGTAAACATCGTCGAGACGAATGGAATTCATTTGCAGGCTCGCCGAGAACGGAGGAAGCGCCTCAATTATGGCGTCATTACGGTGCCTTGGAGTGCCCGGCACGCGGGGATTGCAGGGCCGTGGGGCAAGTTTTAAAGCCGCTTGACCTCCCAGATAGCAGAACACTGCCCCGTGTCGTCACCTCAAACGCGTTGGGATTTTTAGAACGTCAAATATGAACGTCACACTCACAACCGTGGCATTCCGATGGACAAATCCCGTTCACGTGAGAGCGGTCGCTGTGTTTGTGCCGTCTCAGAAGGGGCACTCGGCAGGACAAAGCTGCGGCGCCGCAGCCGCTTCTGTAAAACGGCTCCCGCGGCACGGGACGGCTATAGAATGTCAATCGCCGCACGCCACGCAAAGAGAATGACCGACTTGGTGCCCCGCGCGCAATCGGACGCGGCGGGCATGAGCGATGCGCGTCGTGCCCTGGAGACGCGAGCGCCTCGCGGTGTTAACCGGCAGCGGTCGTGGGGAGGGGATGAGAGCGAACGCGTTGCTGCAACCGAGACGAGCCCCCCCCCCCCCCACTGATCCCCTCCCCGTCACGTCGCCTCACAGGCACGCGCCTTGGCTCAACACCGCCCTTTGGCAGCCGAGTCCAAACAGCACGCGCGTGGCCACGGTCTGAAATCTCCCCTCCCCCTCCCAAAAAATACAATACAAAATAAAATTACGACTGTTTATTCCTATTAACGTTTTAATGTGAACAATATTCACAAGACTGTACTGACAAATCGCTGTTTTATTAGGTTGTATAAATTTTATCCCCCATCTAACATGGATCGTGCTCGGGCTGGAATGACTCACTCGACACCCCCCCCCCCCCCACTACGATTGAACTTGCGAGCCAATTGACGCAACCGCATGGGGAAAGCGGGTGGAGTCGGACAGAGTCGAATCTTTTTTGCTCCGGTGTCCCAGGCCATGGATACCGAAACTGGGCCCCACGCGC